GAAGGCCGCGGCCCGGGCGCCCCTTCCAGACGCCGCCCGAGCCCCTCCATGTGCTGAGAGGCAGCAGGCTGTGTTCCCAGAAGCAAACCCTGGACCCCAGGGCAGAGGATAAGAAAAAGAAAGCCAGCAGGGGTGGCAGGCAGCCGCGCTGGGACCCGGGTGACGCTGACAGCGGCCCCAAGATCGAGAGCAGCGGCAACATCCGGGCCCTCAAACACTCGGCGATGATTCTGGATGCCGTGGACTCCCGCAAGGCCCCCAAAACCCAAGCACACGCGAATCTTAAGAAAAAGGGAAATGCGAATAGCTGTGGCCACGCCCCCCTCTCCAGCGAGAAAAAACTCAAAACAAACGGAGGCAAGCAGAGCACACGTAAATTCCAATGACATCTGAAATGACGAATCGCGATGACCGGCAGACACCTAGATATTAGGGGTCCTTCGAAAGTGACAGCGCTGGGAATTTTAAGGGATCCTGTGATGACTGCCGTTTCAGCAGTTGGTTGGTTCTTCAGTCCGCCCCTTCCCCACGTGGGTTTTCAGAGCAAGGTGTCTTAAAGCAAGCCTGTCTCTGTATGGACAGTCTTAAGCAAAGGACAGCCCTTTGGACCATAAACCACGGTCCGTGCCACATAAGGGACGCCCTGGGAAGAGTCACCTAAACTGCAACGCGGCCCGGTGGAGAACAGGCTTGCCCCCGCCTTCACCGTACACGACTGGACAAAACAGTGTAGGCTGTTGTAGACGGCGTGGGATGAGCCCAGACGTTGGCTGCAGCCGGGGCCCGGGGCATCTGCATCGTAAACGACTCAGGCAGGAGGCCTGTGGGGCAGACCCCTGGGACAAGCCGGTGCTCCGTGCTCTCTTCAAGGTAGGGAGCATCTATTTTGAGCCAAGTCATTCATCAGAAGCTGCTTCCTCTTTAGGGACCACAGAATCTAGAGCTTTCACACAGTTCCTCTGACATGGGTTTTCTTAAAAAGCATCTTAAATTTAGAGCTGGTGGTAAAGCACCTTTTAGAATTTCTAAGTGAAGGGTCTATAAGGCACAGACGTGGGGAGCCACTGAGTGTACCAGTCACGATGTCACTGGTTTGGGACCTGGATCCTGCTGTGTGGAGTCAAAATGATGATGGTTCAGTGGGCAAGAGCAGGCGTTTGCCATTAGATTGGGCAGAGAGGAGAGGACACAGCTCAGGATGCAGCGGAGCGCGGGGCAGGTGCTCCATAGGATGCCTCCTCCGCATCCTGCTCCCGTCTTCTGGGTTCCTGGCTTCAGAAACGCTTCCCATTTACCTGCCCTTAAGTGACACCGAAGTACCCCTGGAGTTGTGCCCTGAGGTTGCTCTGGATGCCATCTCGAATATCTCCAAAACCTTCGTTTGACTACTTCTTGTTACACAGTATGTTTTAACAGCTAATTTTATCCCTTTACACTTTTTTTTTTTTTTTACATACACATTTCTATTTTTCCACCTTTGGGGCAGATGAAAAACTTGGCACTTTTCATCTAAAAATATGTAATAGCTTGCAGACTTTTCACTTTTCACTCAGCAGCCAATGTCATCCAAGGCACTTGCTGGGTTAACAGCCTAAGGATACCTTTATAATCAAAATAATGGCCAAAGTTTTATGAATTTTAAGATCCTGTTTTAAAATCTGATTTTAATCATATTAAACAACATGTAAAGTGTTTGATGACAGTCTTTTTCTTCCCAGACTTTATTTCCAGATTTTACAGACTCCTTCCCGTATGCCCTTCCTCTCACCCGCCCATGGAGAAAGCATGCTCTCATAGTGAGATCTCACCCCTCCTCACACGAGCACAGGTGTCAGTGTGGTAGGCACCGCTTCCACAGTGCTAATCATACCAAACCCTTTGTACTTCGTGTCTACATTATATTTGAAAACATAGTGTTACTCTTACTTTTCCTTCCTGAGCATTCCCCTTGTGTCCTCTGCCCCAGCCCTGCTCCTGGTGAGCACTGGCGGGTTATTCCTTTACCCAGGGCTGGCACCTCGCTCATGATTCTTTCTCTGCCAGGCTTCGATGCAGCTCGTTAGACGGTTCAGGGCTGTAGATCTCGGTGAGCACCTTACATTCACGTGCGTCCTGACAGTCACACAGAAGGGTCACGCCGAGTCGCTGCCGCCCCCAGCAATGCCTCCATGCGGGCGCTCCTGGAGGCCCGGCAGAGCGAGGCTGGCACGGATGTCATCTCGGGGGGTCTGAGCTGAACGCCAGGACGCTTAGAAACATAGTAACGCCTCGGGGGTTGTGTTTGTTCCTTGCTCTGTGAATCCGAGCTGGTTGCCTAATTTGAGGAATAGTCATAATGTCACATGACCAGGGTTTTAAAAGCCTGGAAAAGTGACTTTACTTGCTTCTTTTTTTGCCTCAGGTTGATGATTTATTTTAACCAGTATTATTGCGATGGGGTCAGAGCTCCTAACGAATAGTGTAGGTTCACTGCAGAAGATAAGCACAATTTTCATTTCATGATTTCCGATAATGTATGTAACACATCTTAATGCACTAAATGCCGTAGATACAAATCTTGCCATTTTCCAGTAGATGACATTGCAAAGCCGAGTCACGAACTCATTCGGTTTATCAAGGCTAAGCCACTGAGTGTCCTGCCAATCAAGTGCCAAGAGTCATTGTGTTTCTAAGAAGTGCCTCTCATTTCTGGGGGAGTTGTTTATATATACATTGAGGTTAAACCAATTAAAACAACCCAAAGTAAAAAAAAAAAAAAAAAAAAAGCTTAGAGAATGTAAGAAGAAACTACTTCAGACTTAGAATCAGTGGGCGGGAAAAGTTTAAAAATGTACAAAACGAACTAAAAAATATATCAGTATTATCTACAATTGTTTAGGTTTGACTATTTCTCAAAACTTTCATTGACTAAACTGGCTGAAGGTTTGTAACTAACATGAATGGGGTGGGATCGATGGCCCGGAGCCACCAAAAGATGGGGGAGAAGCTTTCCTTGGTCTTACGATAGCAAATAACTAGAAGGAAGATGGTTTGTAGTGGTCCTTAGCCCTGTTAATTCGCAGAAAGCTAAGATTTTCTACCTTACTTGTAAACATCGCCTGTTTCCTCTTCCTTTCTGTGCGTTTACTTGATTCGTTACATAAAAATATAAAACTCTCGTAGTACTGTATTTCAAGGTAATAGAGAAGCAGTATTCATTATTTATTCATATATGTGTACAGAGCACTGTTCAAAACGGCCTGAAAACATTCAGCATGCTCATTTGCTGTTAAAATAACGATTGCATGCTGGTTTTGTACATAATAAAATACATACATGTGAGTCTTTGCGAATCTGGATTTTTCCTTCTTTGAGATCAATTAAACAGTGGCAGATACTGCCTGGGCTTTTCTGGTTTGGTTTGGCTTTGCTTTTCATGCAGTTCTCTTCCAGAGTTTGTCTTCTTCCTCCCCGGTTATTTCAAAGAGCAGCTGAAGAGGAAGTTCTGGTCCATCTCCTCTCTCAACACTAAGCATCACACGTGACGGCATTTCCAGAGACGCATTGCCGGCTGCACGTTTCTTGGGTCTGTCTTTCTTTCATTAGCCCCCAGGGGTGCTGAGTGGTTAGGGAAGCAGGATGGAAATTCAGGAAAATTTAAAAATGTGTCACAAGTAACTCACCTTAACTAGAAGTGAGTACCGTCGCTTTCCACGGAGCCACCTGGCTGGGACATGGCAGTTTTCAGCGGCTACGGCTACACACATTCTGAAAGACCCTTTGCTTCTCTTTCTAACCTTACTTCTGACAATGAGGTACATTCTTTTGAGTCTACCAAATAGTGACAGCAGAAAAAATTGGGGGAGCGTTAAAATTTAACCGAGTATGTATTAAAGAGCTTCTTGACTCTCATTCAGTGATTGTGAATCAGGCGGCATCCCATCCGGTGCGCAGAAAGCAGCTCGGGGACCTGTACAAAATGAAAGACTTTGTAAGCAGACGGGGGCGGGACAGGGATGGTACACTGGAAAAAGCGGGTTGGTTGTTGCTAGGTCAGTTTCCCCTGGGGGAGGGCAGGGGCCAATCGGGCAGGTGACCTCGCTAGCTGACCCGGCCACTCCTGACTGACTGGTGTAAGACTGCATTTCTCAGAGAGCAGAAACTGTAAGTCTCGGTTTGGTTGTGGGGCTCAGCCTAAGCGACTCCATTTTGGGCCTGTCGTCATGTTTTTAACCGGGCTTTAAGAATAATATTCTGGTAGTCTGAAAATTAACCGTGTTGGAGGTATTCAATCATTAGTTTGTACAGAAAATGGGAGATTGTTTTTGGATGTCGCCGTTTCATTATCCGGGAGGTGGCGGCTGAGCCCTTTCAGACAGCGCTGAATTTGTGCTGTCGGTACCTTCCAGTCAAAGGACAAGGTTTGCAGTGGAATCAAAAAGAAATGGGGTACAAAGGGACTGCCCTCAGACACGAAGCACGTTCTTCATTCCGCGCCACTCCACCATCGGAGAATCGAGCGGTTCGTTCAGCGCCAGCAGGTCCTTTGGGGGATCCCCTTCCATTCACTGGACACCCCCGTATCATTGTTAAAAGTGAGAAGCATATTAAGCATTTTAAGTTTCGTTGAGCAAAAATGGATTCAAATCGGGCAGCACCTAATGAAAAGTGGTCTGGAGCGTTCTTCAGACAGGAGCCAGTGCGAGGATTTTCCAGAGAACACGCAGTAGCAAGGAAACCATCGGCTTGGCCACACCTTGGTGGCTGCAGAAGGTGCCCTGTATCATTGTTAAAAGTGAGAAGCATATTAAGCATTTTAAGTTTCGTTGAGCAAAAATGGATTCACATCGGGCAGCACCTAATGAAAAGTGGTCGGGAGCGTTCTACAGACAGGAGCCAGTGCGAGGATTTTCCAGAGAACACGCAGAAGCAAGGAAACCGTCGGCTTGGCCACACCTTGGTGGCTGCAGAAGGTGGCCGTCTGTGATTGGCCGTCCTCCCTACCCCTCAGCACCAGCAGGAACTGGCTCTGGTTTGGGTTTCGGTTTGCTAATGAGGCTGTCAAGGTATTAGAGCCAGGTCAGCTGAAAGGCCTCCTAGCTTGATTACTGTAACGTCATAAAACGCCACATCTAGCACGGAACAGTGCTCGACGAAGTAATAGAAATCATTCATTTATCAAAATACTCACAGAGACCTTGCTTAGAAAAAGACGATTCGAATATTCCGGTCCTCAGCAATGCGCTATTTAAAGAATTAAGCGTCATCACACTGGAAAATGCGCACGACATTTTTAAAATATGGGACAGTCACGAATATCACTGTCCTCACTTGAATGGTATTTTGGAGAAAATGAATGCTGCATATGCAATTTCAGATGTTATTCAGCTCACACCATTCTATTAACTCAAATTGGGAGCTCTCCACACCTGCCGACTGAGAAGGGGTTCAGAACATGCCCCCCAAATGTGTCCCTCTGGCATAGCGACTATTTTGAGCTAAAGACACTTGAAACATAGCAAATAAAAGGAAATCACTCTTACCTTTCTTCTTTTTCTTAAAAGCAGATGAAATTCCTATATATATATGACGGGTCCTCCCCGCACCAGGAAGAAAGTGCCATTCTTATCATTGGGGCCAAGACGCTGAGACCAAGAGGCTTCTACCCACATCTCGTTTGTTCAGATAATTCTCGCCTTCCTCTAGCAGATAATTCTCGCCTTCCTCTGGCCTCTCCACGCCACCGCTTCTCCGGAATGGCCTCTGTTCAACGCGCGTACGAAAGCGAGCAAGTGTCACCATTTCGTCGGATCTTCATCCCTTATGAAAGCTCCCCTGTCATGCCAAACTTATCGTTGATGTATTGGTGTGCTCTTCATCTGTCGACCCACCTTCCGTTGCTTTAATTCTCAGGCCCAGCCCAGCAGAGCGCTAGGAAGGCGAAGGGGTGCAGAGTTTGCCACCCCCGAATATGCCTCTTTGGCATGAGGATTCTTTTAGGCTGATTATTTTTATGAAACAGAAAACGCAGGAGAAGCTCTGACAACTGAGTGAAAGTCACGCTTTTGCCAGAGGCATTTCCATTTGCAAGGGGCCCCCCCTCCGTGCACCCAGAAGGGGGGCGCTGGGTCCCTAGAAACTCTTACCGACTCTGGCGCCCCAGGCGTGGACTCAGAGCTGCGGAGGAGCACCCCTCCCTTTCCCGCGCCCCGCCATCTTCCCTTGTCCTCTGCTGAGATGGCGTTGGAGGCGGTGGCTCCGGCCATTTCGGGAGGTCGCTGTTTTCCTGGGTTTCTCACGTATACAAGAAGCCCCCCTGTTTATTAAACGTCTGTTGTCCTGTTCATGTCTTCTATTACGGGGGGTCAGGGGCTCAGGGGGCTCAGCCAAGAACCTAGACGAGTAGAGGGGAAATGACCTTTTCTCTCCTATGAGGGTAAAGGGAAAAGTTTACCAACCCTACAGAACCGAAGTCCGCCTCTTTGCCAGATCCTCGCTGGCTAAAATCTGAGAAACCAGCTGTTGAGCGCTGACACGTCTGCACCTTCGAGTGGACGGCTCGGACAGCACTGGTCTCCCCACTGACAAGGACGTCCGCCGCACCCACGTGTTTTCCCCACTGACAAGGACGTCCACCGCATCCACGTGTTTTCGCCAGGGCTGAAGGCGTCTGGCTGGGGACCACGCCCGCACCTTCCAGAAGGGGTGGCTCCGATGCGCGGTTTCTGGCCTCTGACAATCTGAGCTGCCGTGAATGCTGGGAGTCCAAGTTCGTGAGGACGCATTTACCCGTGAATTTTTCTCACATTCACACTCTTCTATTTTTAAATTCCAGGTGTGGGAAGCTCAGTCTGCCTTCGGGCGGCCCTTTCACCCACTTTGGTACTGGGACCAGGATCAGAGGGGCCACCACTGCCTGTCGCCAAGCTTTTCCTCTAAACGCATCTCTCTCGAGCTGTCCGCCCTGACGAAGTCAGGGGACAGACAAGGAAGCGTTGCCGTTTTCCTATGTTGTGCATGTTCTAAATGCTGGAATGAAATACTCTTTTCCCCATAGGTGTCAACGAGCAGAGTCAGGAGGCTTTGGTTAGAAGTAAATGGCCAAGTTTACTCAAGGGTCCTGAGCTCTGCAGATGAGACGGCGCTGCCAGGTAACGCCCAGAGCGTTCTAAAGAAAAGAGGAAGCTCAGCGCCCTCATAGCACAAAGCACATTCTCGAGAGGACTCGGCCCGTGTTCGTAGCCTCGGGAGCACCGGAGCCGGTGGCCTTCCGGGTGCTGATGTCTCAGGGCGTCCTGACGGGAGGACACCTCCCCCCACGCTCGCCCTCCTTTTCTAAGTCCTTCGAAGGGTTAGTTATCTATAGGACTTGTATGTCTCCAGGTATTGACGCACGACTGAAAAATTCAGGTTCGCATTCCCAGGCTAAAGTGAAATAAAGTCATTTCCAGGCTTGGCATTGTGCTTCAGGTCGGCTCGGCTGTACTGAGAACTTGAGGTCGCTTGGGTGCCCGCTGCACCCAAGGTGAGAACGCTGAGTTTAGATCATGAATTGCAGTTCGCGTCTTCCTTGTAATCAAGTAACTTTTATCTCACAAGCTTATCACATTTCTTCATACACGAGCTTCCACGGATCTGGGAGCTGCCACCTGGTGGCCTCGAGGCGTTACTGCACTTCTGAGGACGCAGGGACACTGGTCTGTTTTCGCTGGAATCCCAGATCCTTAGAGCAGAAAAGGGAACCCTGAGGTCCTCTAGTTCAGACGCACCTAAGACGGGAAGCGGGTGGAGCCCAGAGTCGCCAGCCGAGTGACTCACAGCCTCACTGAGGAGGACACTGGCTTCTTGCTCGGTTATTTTTAAACGTCTGAGGATGTTGAAAGTTTGGTTGTTTTTTAATAAAGATGGTAAATATCGTAAAATGCCAGTTTTCCCCATCTTACAGCAAACGTGAAAGTGGGGCCGGTACGTTCCCAGCCTCCCCCAAACCCCTCTGGGACTCAGTTCGCCGCCCTTCCCGCTCGATACTGTCACCCCGGCACTGTGCCAGCCCTGGGGGTTCACGTGGCGTCCGTTCCTCCCCAGACATCCAGCACAGTTCAGCTTACCCAATCTACAAACTCTGAATTAGTGACTCCAGCTGAAGGTTTTCAATAGACTACCATGGAATAAAAATTATCCACTTTGAAAACAAGCACAAAGTTATAAACTCAGTCATTATTATTCTGTTTTTCTATGCACAGAAAATAACCGAAGACCTTAAAATTGCATTTCTTTCTCTTTTTGGTAATAAGCTGTTAATTTGGCCTAAGACAGTGAACTATTCAAATGAAAGTCTTCAGCAG